TGAACAGGGTGAGTCTGATTATGAATATTTTATATAGAGTGCATGAGCAGAAGATTTTGTATTTTCTTAGCATGCAGTCTTAAATGATCCTGTGGTCCCTGGACACGGGTTTCTCGCAAGCCCGTGTTCTGACTACACAGTTGTGTGTTGAAGCTAATATAGAAAAGATTCTTATAATGTAGTGGGAGCAGCAGGACATGAGAGGAGAGGGCAAAGATGATGAAATGATAAGCAACTGAGAAGAGAGGCCTGGCAGTTGGGTGGGAAAAAGGGGTTGAAAATCACTTGATGGATGGCTCTGAGGGATATGGATAGTGTCTGGGAGACAACAGCATCTATGGAAATCCACAGTGGTGTATAGCCTTGGTTTGATGTGAGGGATGCTAGATAGATAATTTGATGAGTGAGTACTACATGTCTGGCATTACAAGGGTTCATTTCTACACTGTATGCTCTCCTAACTCTTAGTCTTTGGTGCCTATAAGTGAGAAGCAGAGCTCAGTTTGCCCTTCGTAGTCCTGGGCATGGGAAGATGAACACAAAGGCATGCCTCATTTAGGATCATTATGGGGATTGTGTCCTCACGCACTCAGAGGTCCAGAAGAAAGTGATCGTTCCCCAAGGTCTATAAGGAAATAAGGGAGACAGTAGAAGCTCCTCCCTGGCTTTTTTCACTGAGACAATGTCTGGTTTCTTGCAGCTTTGCCTACACCAGAAAGATGTGCTCTCACGGGTCCTGCCACGATCACCACAACACCTGCCACAGGTCACGATGTGGGTCTCACTGCCATGAGTCCAGACCCCCCTCAACATCACTGAGGTAGAGAGGCCGTCCGTTCAGTCCTGGTGCCCCGTGCAGCAGTACTGCCCCGTGCAGCCCTACTGTCCACCCACCTGCTGCTACCCACGCTACCAGTATTCCCAGTGCTGCAAGTTTCCTCCGCAGTACCTCAAGTGCCCTCCCCAGTACCCCAAGTAAGACACCTACATCAGCACTGAAGCCAAGACCTGCCTCTTGCAATCCTCCTGTTGTTTTCAATGCCAAACGATATTTTGTCTTGTTTCATAATGGCACCTTCTTAGCATACGTGTGACCAACTTTGTCTGGTTTCTGACTAAGTGTAATGTATGATCTTGGAGAATGGGGTGACTGTAAATCCTGATCTGATTATTTGTAATCTTACTTTACTGCTTCATGCTCCAGCCGGATATGGCACATAATAAAATATATAATTCTGCAAAAATATCTTTGCTTTTTGGCCCATTTTTTTGTCATTTTAGCATCATGAAAAATCCTAATTTCTGACTGCTTTTTCAGACTATTTTCCTTCATATTCTAGAGCTCCCCCTTACAATAGGGAATGGGGATGTATGGGGCCTAGAGGAGTCATCTAGAATATCCTGTGACCCCAAGGCAGTATCAAGAATACCCAAAATATTCTGGACAAGTATTTCTTTGACTCGCTTTAAAAGCCCCAACCATGCAGGTTACATAACTTCCCTAGGTAATTTAATTCAGGGCTTACTTATTCTTGTCTTCAGACAGAGCCTCTAATGCACACCTTAAATCTCCCTGAGTACAATTTAAGGCCAATTTAAGATGCGCCCTGTTGTTGTAACCATCAGTAGATTCATGAATGCTTTGGGTGATGGAGTATGAAGTGGCCTTACAAATCTGGCAGTTGTCACCAAGCCAGGAGGGTTTGCGAGCCCTTTATCAAGAACTATTAGGATTTAAATCCTCTTCTAATTATTTCTGCCCCCAAAGAAACATGATCTGAAGGTACAAATTAACAGGGAGAAATGCTGGGAATGGTATACTGCACAAATGCAGGAAACAGAGGGCCTGCTTAGGCAGCAGCTTTGCGGGGAAGTTTTTAGGATGCATAGTACTGCACAAGCTGAATGTGAGCCAGGAATGTCTTATTACTGTGAAAGAAAAGCACTTCCTTGTTGGGATGTTTAAAAGGAGTGTCTTTGGTAAGACACGAGAAATAACCCATCCATTTACTCAGGTGCAGTATCCTGTATTATGTTGGATGTCACACCTCTTATAACATGTGTAGCAGTGGGAGTGAGTCCAGAAGAGAGCAAGCAGAATGATCATGTATCAACAAACACGACG